TGTGCCAAAAGGTGCAGAATGTGTCTACAGAAGAGCTATATTCAGAAAAGCTGACTTATGAGATGGACAAACAAAAGTAGTGATAAAAGGTTGTGCAACGACTCAAATGCCTTGCGATTGCAGACATGCCAAAGTGAGGAGTCTAAATTGTATTTCCCAGCATTCGAAAAGCTTCCAAACATTGAAAAACAAAAGTTGATGCTGTACAGCGCAGAGGGGGTAATCAAATTGGCACTGTCATCGCTCTTCTGTTTCTTTCCTAATTGAATTGAATAGCACTTTCTCATCAACTTTCGACTGTCTCTCTCTCTTCCTGCACTCACACAGGACAGCTGCAATCTGCAAACAGCTAGCTGCTAATCAACGGCTGGAGCTAGTTCGCCAATTAGCACTGCCACCGCCAGGCAGCCTAATGGACCGTCTGTTTGTCAGGCTGCTTCAGTCACACCAGCTAATGAGATGGCAGGCAGTACGAAGAGGTCTCAGCCGGTGTCTGGTCACTGTACAATCTGTCTGCTTGTGCATGTGAGTGTCGCTCTGTTCAATGGCACTGTCTCTGTTTGTTTGTGGGTCTCTTGTTCATCAGTGCCTAATCAATGCACACTCACTCACTCACTCACTCGTCAATTGGCACTTTCAGGCAGTGGCGGTGGATTCCCAGTGTGAATTCATCATTCGACATCATCTCATCACTAATCTTTTGCTCTTACTGTTGTTTGCTCTCTCTCTCTCTCTCTCTCTCTCTCTCTCTCAATAGTGGTGTTGGTAGTGATGATGAAGCAACATCAGCAGTATAGCATCCACTACTGTGATTTAGTGAGTTCAGCCAGTGTCTGTCTGTGTCTGTGTCAATGCATTGTATTGCCCATTTACTGCTGCTGCTGCTGTTGCAATCTGCCGATTCAGCAAAACTCCCGAAGGCCCGTGCCACAGCAAGCAAACACGCTCGCTTGCTTGCTCCCCAGTGGTGCCCGAGTGGCAGTGTCTAGTAGTCGAGTAAAATCAGGAGGAAAGAGCACTACTATTTGAACGATCACACGAACGCGACAACGACCAGAGTCCTCTTCAACGGACACCAGCATGTGCGCTACATCATGAACGCCAGATGAGCGTACATGAGTTCAGCAGCAAAGAGGAGATGAAAGCAGAGATGGCAGCTGGTGTACCGTACTGCTGGAGCAGCTGCTGAAGCACACTGCTGAATTCTTCTCCTCCTCCTCCTACTCTTCTCTCAATTAAAGACAACGAACCAGAGAGCGAGCCAGTGAGTGAGAGTGCCACCGTACACGTACAGTGAAAATGGTGAGCAGTAGTTATCTGCGCGTGTGCCTATCTCCTCCTGCTCGATTGCGACATGTCGTCAGAGTGACACTGACCTCTACGTACGAAAGAGAAAGAGAAAAGAAAGAAAGAAGAGAGAGGTACCGCCAGCGTTCTGGCAACAGACACGCACAAGTGGCTGCTGTGGAAGCAGGAGCAGCCAAAAGGCAAAAGCAAATGCACTTTTGTTGATGGCAAATTCCCAAAAGTCTGTACGCTGTGAGTCGATCTGTTTGAACACCAAACAGGCAGCCATTTGGTGGTAGCGGGGGTGACAAGGATGATTGTGATGTGATGCAGACGAAGCCGCACCTAGGATGAGCAAAATAAGTGCTGCATGCAAGAGGTAAAGGAAGGCTGCAGATTAAAACAGGCAAAGGATCAAACATGAACATTTGCAATAGCAAAGTTGGAAATTCCAAATTTGATGTAATGCACCGTACCAAAGTTGTCACATGAAACAGATTAGATTGAAAAGTTTTATCATCACAAAAATGGACAGTTCGCTGTAGCAACTCAAATAGCTCACCAGAGCAAAAGAAATGGCAAAGACATTGCCGATTAATTAAATGCTTCTAATTGCCTCAAAGCATCTTTTTATTTTACTGAAATTGCATTTTAAAGAAAACAGAGAGTTCTTTGTTCTATTTTAGCAAATTAATGGAATATTCTCTTTTCAAACTACTAAAACATTTGGCCAAATGAATAAAGATTTGGCAGTAATGCCAAAATCGACTGCTTCATCTGAATGCCTCTTTTGCAATCACTTTCTCTTCTGATCCAATAGACTGGTTCACTTCGATCTGGGTATACTGACTGCTGCTGCGTGGTCCATTTGCGTCATTTCCAGCAGCAGTACAGCTGTGAACCCATAAAGCACAGACACCGACATTCGTCTTCCAGTAACCTGCAGTAAAGTTCCAGCGCACCATGCAAATAATATCTCCACTAGCAGCAAGACCACCCTGGTGCTGTTCCAAGCACTTGAACTCGCTCGGATGGAATGTTTATTGCCCGACAACTACGGTGGGTTTCAGACAGACAGAGTGGCACAGTGTTTCGACACTATTAGTGTGGGAAGGGAGTGTGCGTCTGATGGAGTGTGTGTGTCTCTAAGTGCCCAAAAAGTGGCAACTGACCTAGCAACGGAATGTATTATTATGGGCAGTAAGGCACCGAGAAGAAGATTGTGCCAACACACCAGAGAAACGGTGGTGGTGGTGGCATCATAGCTGAGTAAGAGTAAGAGTAAGAGCGCATGACTACCATTACCACTACCATCGCCGCCGAGAGAGGCTAACAACCTGTCCAACTGACTGGGGGGAATGGGACGGCGTGGATGGGCTCACTAGGGGAGAGATCCACCAGAATGGGGCAACACAACAGTGCAGAAGAAGACAGCGGCGACAGCGTGCAATCTATTTTCTCTCCTCTTCCATTTGGAGCACTTTCTGGAGCGGCGGCGGTACGAAAGTGCCCCTGCCTGGCAGAGCTGAAGGGCACTGCCCGCAGACACTGCTTCTCCTCTATCTCTATTTCTCTCACTTTTTGTGTTGGTGACAATCAAGTTCACTTGGTCATTTGGTAGAATGTGCGCCCGTAGTGACGGGGGAGCCAGAGAAAAAAAGAGAGAACGATTGGGTTGGCAGTTCTCAGAGATATGGCGGCAGCGATGATATAGCAAATGGCACATGCCGACACACCACAACACATGACTAGGCGCCAGGCAAAGACGGTGGCGAAAGAGAGTGGACCCTGTGCTTGTGCTTATACTCAACTAGAAAGATCCAAACCAGCAGTGCAAGCATGCTACCATTGAGATGCTATGGAAAAGAAAGAAATAAGAGAAGACAAAGAAAAAAATTGGAATCTTCAAACACACGAAACCAGAGGCTTTTTGCCAGCATCAACAAAAGCGTGGGTTGAAGCGAGAAAAGGAGAACTAGGCGATCAAAGGATCACCGAAGAGTATGCTGACTGTGTTTGAGAGTGTACTACTGCTGCCATCGTTGAAGGCGTCATCGGGTAAGGATGGACGGCACTGAGCAAGTGAGTGAGCCAGCGAGCACACCATTACCAGCGCCAGCAGCCACAGAAAAGTAGAAGCACACTGAAAGAGCACTGGCTGTACGGCGACGAGGGCGACAGTCAGGGCAGGGAGGCAGGCCAGGCTGGCAATTCTTGCATCACACACACAGGCGCCCGAGCACAGCAGTACTCTCCTCCTCCCTGCACACACAGTGGATAATAAACTCGATTGCAGTCGATGTACGCATTCAAGGCTACGGCTGCTGCTGCTGCTGTCGCCGAGATGTCGATGTGCTGCGCCGGTTCAGAGAAAGAAAGAGAGGAGAGAGAAAAAGAAGCTGTCTCCTTCTTTCTTTCTGCTCCTGCTCCCCTTCGCCGGCTCCACTTTTTGGGTTGATGGCGCCCGAAGAAAGAAGAGGGGATCAGTGCAGGGAGCCAGCGGGGCACAGGGGCAAGCATCATCACCACCAACAGCAGCAGCAGCAGTGGTAGTAACCGATCAAGCCGAACCAGTGAATGGCAATGGGCAATATCGACTGGTAATGCTGCTAAAAGAGGAGCAGCTCTTCTGCACCACTACATGACCGCATAAGCTAAACACACAGAAAGAGAGAGAAAGAGCGTGGTTAGTTGCTTGAAGGCTGCAACAGCAGCACTCTCCGTTTTGGATCGATCTCATATAGCGGCGGTGTCGTCTTCAGTGCAATATCGTCGGCACAGCGCACCAGGTTCAGAACAAACACACACACTGGCAATACCACAGAATCGACTGTGGCCTTGAATCGGTCAGTGGCGCGAGTCCCCTTCTTTCTCACTCTTCCTACGTCATCACCACCACTACAAAGACATAAAGAGAACGTTCACTTGGACTCTTTCACTCTCTTTCTTTCATTGAACCAGTGTCAAGTTGCGTGCTTCGGCAGCTGCTGCAGCCGCTGCATCCTCGCGCAGATGATGACATTTGCGGTCGTTCATCGTTCCCTGTCTGCTTGTTTGTAGATAGAATGGCAGGAATTTAATCGACCAAAGGAATGGTCGTAGAATTTGAGTGGGCACTTAACTGAACGGTCAGATAACTGCCAGTAAACGTAGCACTGCAGTTTGCAGTTGTTCTAGTCCACCACTGTTTGGGAACTCTGTTTAAAAGAGCTTGTGCAGTGCAGTTCAAATGAAAAAACACACTCACACCAAATTACTGCTAAAGACTAGATCCACTGTTATCTCTCTTGACTACCGTTGAAAGACAGGACAATAGTTGAAGAGGCACTTGCTGTGCGATAGCAGCACACAATTAGCACACACACCCGATTGTTCCCATCTGATTGCGGGCAATGATGATCGCTGACTGCATCCGCTGTCACTGGACGGTGTGTCACGAACAATACTCCAGTGCCAGAAAAAACGAGCACTCAAACAAACAAAGCAGCACACGTGTGCTGGACAGCACAATCACAAGTGCACTTTTGCAACCTTTTTCCAACTTTCTAAAACGGTCGTACCTGAAGACTGCGACGTCGATGATTCGTGAATGTCGAGGTCCNTGTCACGAACAATACTCCAAAAAAAGGAGCACTCAAACAAACAAAACAGCACACGTGTGCTAGACAACACAATCACAAGTGCACTTTTGCAAATCTAAAACTCGGTCGTACCTGAAGACTGCGACGTCGATGATTCGTGAATGTCGAGGTCCCACAGTTCGAGATCAATCTCAGAGGACTCTAGGCTGGGCACGGGGCTAATGCCACTGCTGATGCAGTTCTGACTGGAGGACACCTCGGGGGAGGACTCGGAGAGGAGGCCGATGTGGTTGTTGGGGTTGCCGGGGCCGGTGGTGGTGGTAGTGCCAGCCTGGCCACCGTTGATCAGCAGAGCCGCCTGATAAGCCGTTCGCTTTCGGGCTATTGGCTGCTGCTGTTGTTGTTGTTGGACAAGGGAGGTGACACCACCGCCAGTACCATTGGCCATCATTTGAAGGTGCCCGCCGTTGTGGTGATGGAGTTGAGATCGAGGTGAGAGGACGCCGTCATCCTCCTTTTTGATCTTCACTGGCGTCGGACAGAGGGCGGTGGCGGCTGAAGGTGCGGTGGAGGGCTCGAAACGACTGTTGCCGCCACTGCTGCCGCTTTCCAGGGAGGAGAAAAAGCCGGAATCGTCGGCAAAAAGGGCACGGGTCTTTTTGAAGCTGGAACCGCCGCCAACGCCGACGACACTTCCTGAGGAGCTAGTTCCCGAGTCAGTGCCGCCGCTGCCAGTAGAGGACGCCGAGGAGGAGGTGGAAGAGGAGGCGGAGGAGGAGTGATGGCTGTTGCTGAGCAGACTGCCATTGCTCTTCGTGGCACGAATCGAGCCGCTGGAGCCGATGGTGACCCCCTCAAACAGGTCATCGACGGCCTTCTCGGCGGCTCGGTTCTGCCCGAGCCAGAGAAGGACGAGTGGATCCAGGGTGAAGGGAGAGGTGGTGGGGGTGCCCGTGAAGAGGATGGTGAAGAATTTGTCGGGGAACGGCGGGGTGACAAGAGAAGATGGAGAGGACCCAAGGACTCAACGCTGTCAACGCAGTCAACGAATCAAAGAACAAGGTGAACTGGAGAAGACTGAGTGTGTGGTTTCGATATCACAGAAACGACTGGAAGGATGAAGCTGAAGAAGGAGAAACTGGTCACCGGTAAATGAGTGATGATCAGCTGCTCACATGACAACTACTACTGCTAGTAGAACAGTAGTGTGGAATATGGTAAACCAGGTAAGAGAGATACAACAATGGTACTTCACTGGTGACACCAAACAACAGTAGGAAAGAGAGAACACTGACGAGGGTGAAAGACACAGGTTTAGTAGCACAGAGGACAGAGGGTAGAAGGACTGAAGAGGAGATTCAGTAGCACTGTCGATTCACTGCTGAGGTTGATGATGGTGGTGGTTGTGGGTTGTTCAGAAGCTCTGTCGACGACACTGACGCCGTCGTGACCGGTCAACTCGGGCGCTACTGACTGACTGACTGACTCCAGTGAATCCCTTGCCTCGGCTGCAGAGTGGCACTCTCTGTTAACTCTGGCGCTGTGTTACTCTCTTGCTGCCTGGCGTGTAGGGCGCGAGGAGAGAGAGAGCGAGGGGGAGCTGCAGCGGCGGCGGCAGAAGAAGCGACAGCGGCAGCTGCTGCTGTAGGCAGAGTAACTCCAACTCCGAGGAGAGAGAAAGAGCAGCAGCAGTAGTCTTTGGACAAAGACGACGACCATCAACAGAGCGCCGACATCGAGGCTGAGCACACACACACAGAGACAGGCAGACACTCTACGATGAGACTAGCACCATCGCCACGATCACCAGCACCACCAGCACACCATGATCAGCAGTGTGACGGACAGACAGAACGACACGCGGGTAAACTAAACACTTCAGCAGCTGCAGCAGGAACGATGACGGCAGAGTCATCGAATATTAAGGCGCGATAATACACACACAGCCACTGGGAGTCAGAAGGAGAGGTAGGCCAGCCAAGCAGAGCAGTTTGCACTTGCTGCTCCTGCTCCTGCTCCTACTTCACCACCAAAATAGAAGTACGGGCGTCGAAGGAGGAGGGGGAGGCGGCGGCGGAGGAGGAGGACAACCTCGGACAGCAAGCGCAAAACTTGAATTGCGCGCTGCTACAAACTCCAGCGCCCAGCACACTGTCTGTAGTGATCGTCGTCGTCGCCGTCGCTGTGGATGGACACGCGCTCAACAGAAGGAGAAAGGAAAGGAAAGAGGGGAAAAGAGTACAGTGCAGGGGCAAGCAGCAAGACTGGTTGGCCAGGTCGACCTGGTCGCACAAAAGTTGACAGCATCAACGATGACGGTGGTGGTGGTGGTGGTGGTGGTGGTAGCAGGACAAGTCACGCAATCGTTTCGTTGCCTCTGCTGCACCTTCGACCAAGTAGAAAGAAAAGAGAAGAAGAGTCTGCTCTCGCTGGCGTTGATGCTAAAGAGGCCTCGGCAAAGAGCAGCAGCAGACACCACACACAGCAAACTGGCGCGACCCAACGTTCAAGCGCACATTCAGCAGCGAACAGTGATGTTCCCCTTGCGGCAATGGTAAACATGCCGCTGCTGCTGCTGTTGCGTTCTTGAAAGCGAATTTGATCATGACTAGGAGCTTTCGAGGATGGAATGGCAACGGGAAAGAGAAGAAGAGAAGAAGCCCAGAGGAAAACAAAATCGAGAGTGCGATTAGACAGTGACAAGGCGCCACCGACAGAGTGAAGCGCACTCTGTGTAACACAAGAATACCAGTGCCCACCGAAAAAGTACCACCACCACCGCAGATCAGGCTACAAAGAGCAGAAGCTGGGGATTCAATCAGACACATTCACACAATCACTACAACTAGGCAGTGCAAAGGCCGCTCAACTACCGACTGTTAAAAAACGGCAGTCCCTAGGCTCCAATGAATTCTTTTTCTTTCTCCAGTTTTTGGCCATTTTGTAGTGCCGGCTGTTCTTTTTGAGGGTGGGGGAAGAGAAAGTGCTCTTTTGATGATGCCCATTGATAATAAAATGATATGAAAGTGCCATTCATTTTTAGTCCCCATTTGTAGCGAAGGCAATGGCAGTACTTTCTAACTACCAGATCTGGGGTTTTATTACCCAAATGCAGATCCGCCACTAAATTGCTGCTGTTGCTGTTGTTGCAGTTAAATTGCAAAAACATGAGAGGCCAAAGACCGGAGAGTGGTGGTGGTAAGTTGGTTGTTGTGGAAGAGAGTTCCAGAGAAAAAGGCCTGAAAAGTCTCCCACTGTGTGTCGGTTCGTGAACACCGACAAAAGTAGCAACAGCAGCGGCAGCAGTTATCGCCTGGCCAGTGTTCATTCTCGGTAATCGCAATGAATTATTCAATTACACACGGCGTCATAGTCGGAGTGGTTGGAGAGTGCCAGTGCCAGTATTGCCCTTTTCAAGTCACTCTCAGTGTGTCCACTGAACACAGCGCTCAAAAGGTGCTAGTGCTGACACCGGCAATCGATAGACATTACAATTCAGGAGAAGACAGAAGCAGAAACCAAGAAGTGCGAGTGAGAAAGAAGAGCGAATGGCCATGGACACACAGGCGTGTGCGCGATTAGGCGACAAAGGATATGAGCGACAGAGCAGTGAACAATATTGCAACAACCGCAGACAGACGGCGACGACGACTTCCAGTCGGTGATTAGTGGGAGGGGAGACAAAGCAGAGTGACTGACTGACTAATCCGAAAACTCAGTAAAAGAGAGTGAAAGAGGTAAAAGGAGGTAGAAGTGCAGCAGCGCAGGTACAACGCAGTGGACAGCGGCAAGTAGCAGTAGTCGTTGTACTGCTCCGGTCCTTGCCGAGACAGAAAGAGTACAGTACAACAAAGCGCATTTAGTTTTCTTCTTCTTCTTCGATTGGCGACGACAAAGACAACCGCGCCCAGTGACTAGTGAGGCAAGAGAGGCTAGTGTTTGCTAGTCAGGCAGGAGCCACCAGTCTGCAGACACAACCTGCTGGAGGTACGTGCACTGCCACAGAGTGCACAGACTGCTGATCAGAGTGCAGAGCATGTCTGACTGACTGGTAGTACAGTGATTGAATCGGGGTGCTAAACAGCAGAGACCCTCTCTCACTCTCAATCGATCAGAGAAAGTCAAAGGGAAAGGGGAGGGTAGACATTCGCCCGTTCAACAGTGGGGGTCAGTTCAAATGTCACTGCTGACGTCTTTTGAAAACAAGGAAGAGCAGGCCAAAGTTAGGTTGACAGCAGTCCACTGCAAGAACCGTTCATGAGCAAAAACGGTAAAACAAGGGAATGAAAAGCGAGTCGACAAATCTGGTACATTTATCCTCAATTGCGTATTTTTAATGTGTGGCTGGATAACTAGAGCTCATAGAGTTGTGTCAGTTGGTGGGTGACTCAAATTCTTAGCCAGTGCTTACTGGGCAACCTGGACAACGGTTGCCGGCGCAGTCGTCGCCAAACATAACCCTCACTCGGTGATTGCCTCTCGAGGCAACTCGCTCCTTTTCTTTCTCTCTCTCGACATGTTCAACCGGAAGTGACGCCCGCACCCCGCCAATCGGCAACACACATTCTCAGCAGTACTTAGCAAAAACTACTCGCTCACTCATTTAAAGATTGTAGTAATAATAACACCAGAGTACCCTCCACAAAATACTGCCATAGCAAAAGAAGCGAGCCACAAACACATAGTCTAAAGATTACAAACTTTCATTTCATTCGAAACACATACACTGCATTGGATTTCTACAGTGACTCATTGGCAAATTGTCGACATCTTCAATTGCCAGCGTACTATTAATAGGCAACCACAACTTTTTCCAATCTCCCAAACAGCACAGACGCCGGAGGAGATTCATTTTCACACTAGTATGTGTGTATGTGTGTGCTGTGCTGTCTGTGCGCTGTCATCCTTCTTCTCCTTGCTGGTAGGTCAGAGTTCAGCACCCAAAAACCCTCATCTGTGTGCAAAGATAGGGAGAGCAAGAGCAAGACGTGATAGGACTGCAACTAGGCACGATGATGATAAACAAAAACTAGGCAACAGTGCCGGTAGAATATCAGCAGCAGCAGTACCCTGCAGTAGAATTCTGCTGAGCACTCTGGAAATAGCAATTCGATTCTGTATTCTCAACTGTAAACACAGGCTAAGCACACACTGCTAGACAGACAGACAGTTCTCTCTGCACCACCCTCCCCAGCACCTCCTGGTACCACCACCACCATAACCATCCCTACGACGACTGATGAATTTATGCTCCCAGTCGCGCCAGTCAACCAGAGCCGACCTTTGACACACATGCGGAATGCATTATGAAGAGGAGGCAGATGGCAGAGGAAAGTGAGTGAGAGTGAGCGAAAGAGAGAAGAGGAAGCCAGAGAGCAATAGGGCAGAGTGCAAACACACATCAACTGAGATGCAATTTGCTGATTAGGATCGTGAGCACTGGAGCTC